ATCACATGATCTCACTCATTTGTGGACTATATAATGAACAACATAAATGATGAACAAAACCAGATCCAGAGACAGAGAGGCATCAATCAGACCGTCAAACCTCAGAGGGAAGGCAGGGTAGGATGGGAGTTAGGGTATGAGATTAACCAAGAGACTTGTATGCATGCATATAAGCCTAACCAATGGACACAGACACCAGTGGGGTGAGGGCATGACGGGGGGAAGGAAGCAATGAGGGAATAAGGACACATATGTAATACCTTAATCAATAAAGAAAAAAAGAGAATTGAATGCATACAGTAATTTTTAAACTAGAAATGTCTTTATTTTTAAAGTGATAATGAAGACCATTATCATATAGAAGTGAGAGCATTTATAACTCGTTAGCAATTTGGAATTAGTAATAATTTACTTTGAAAAATTGGTACTTAGTTTAAAAGGGGCTTTTTATGCCATTTTTTTGCTTGAACAAACTAATTTGACTTATGTGCTATATAGTCAGACATATACTGGAAATTTTGACATACTTATATGTAAGTTGGTGTTAATATTAGAAAAATTACCATCATGTTAAACTACAATATATTTGAAGGATAAATTAAAATAATTTCTTAAAAATTATCAATTGTTATTGTAAGAGTCTAATCCTCCTAAGATGTTTCATGTTTGGCATGTGTAAACTTGACCAGATATGATTAACTGGAAATTTTATTAACTCTTGTTTGAAAGATTAAGGCCACTTTGGGCATGCATTTCAAAATTTAAATAAGTTGTCATAGCCTCCAATTGAGATAATAAATAGTATATTATATAAGGAAACAAGCTATAGAAAAGAACTAATACTTAAAATCAATTTTTCTTAATACATGTAAGCTGTTCATGAACTCTTAAGTATTTTTATATTTAGTGTCATCAAAAGATTCCAGTCAGAAGCTCTAGGCATTTTCTATGTAATACATACATACATTACAATCTATGTGCAGAAACTCTCCTACTTGCATATTGGTTAAAGGCAAAAGAGAATTTGAAACCCAGATATATTTTTGAAAGAAGCATGTCTTTGAACTGTCCTTTCCCATTATGGTTCAGACTGTCAAACTGCAGACTGGTTGCCGTTTCAGTCAGCTCCATTGCCATTTAGTTGGTGCCTATATTTCATTATTTAAGTGTTAAATAAGTAACATATTAAATACAATTATGAATGCCACTGATGGTTCATACACTGTATATTCTCTTTAATAAAGTTCAAATTACAGGATGATTATTTATTTTACTGAGTACATTTTATATTTGATTAGAAAATTCTCCACGCAACTCTTCTGCAGCATAGTCCATGAAATTCAACAGCAGCTATGATCCAACAAGGAGACAGTTTTGTTTGTCCAAATACCCCCTTCGGTAAAACCTTAATGTTACTTAAGTTTCTTTTCAGACTACTTTTGCCTAACTTGTATGAAACCACAAAGCCAACCAACTGTACCTTGACTGCGCCGTTCTCATGCATGGTGATGCAGTTATCGGCATCTTCTGAGAGTTGGTACAAGGCCTGAGCTGTTGCTCGATGCACATTGGCATCATTCGACTTCAGGTAACGCACCAATGGAGCCACTGCTTTGTTTTCACCAAAGGCCACTCTGTTTCTGCCCCACATACAGCAGCATGAAATGGCTTCTGCTAGATGACGCCTGAGTTTATCGTTATTCTGCATAAAGGAAATGAATGGTGGTAGGAACCCGTGAGATCATGTTTATGCACTAAATGTTTATTACCCACTAAGATGCCAATGAGTCAGGAGAGAACAGCTAGCTAGATGCTCAGGTGCTGTCTTGAAGGAAACTCGTATTTTGGTGGGTCACCAATGGACCAGTTTCAATCCTAAATTCTCATTTTATGAACTGAACATTCTCAGTGAACTCAAAAGTGATCCTCCCTGCTCACTTGGTATTAGTTACTGGTATTTGCCTGATATTATTATTATTATTTACTCCAGGCTCAATTTCCTTTTGAGTAAATATTCTCAACACAGAATTACAGATCCACAAGTGGTTTAGTAATAAATATAATTAAAGAATATAGGACATTCTCAAGAGAGCATTTCACTTAACTGGGATAAGTGGGTTAATTATACTTTATCACCCTAGGAATACTGCTTCATCAGTAATATACCTTGGTTCCCAAGAGGAAGAAGACAGTGTAGCATACAATGGCGTATTTTGAGTCTGCCATTTCCTTTCTGTATTCTTTATGCCATTATATCCAATGTCTAATTAATTGTGTAGGTATAATATAACTGAATAAAGATAGTTTTCTTTTTATTGATTTTAATGTTTGCTTGTTCAAGCAACAACTTGGTGTCCTTACCTGAATCTGGTGGATATTTTTAGGAACTCAGTATTAGGCCCTCTAGACCCAGAATCCTTCCAATGATTGAATTTCATCTCCATGACATTTCTGCCAATTGGTAGTCCAAGCTATGCTCAAATACTTCTGGTCATGGTGAAGTCATTACCTCTCAAGGCTGTTTATTCTATCTGACACAGCTCTGGATAACTAGTACAGTGACTGCCAAAGTCTGCTAGCTCAAGAATGCAACTGATCCAAGCTTGCTAAGCTGGGGGAGGCACATTTAATTTCTAAAGTTAGCATGAATAATTATCTTAGGTATATTAATAATGATGTAAAAATGATAATTCCTATTTCTACAAGAACACAGTTGTTACCATTTTACTTGCCAGTGACAACAGCCTTTATTTCACAAGGATTTTAACACTGGATTAGTCTCAGGAATTAAATGAATTAACCCAAGTCTCATACCTAATAAGTGATGGATATTAAACTTAAACCCAGGTGTCTGACCATAAAGCACATTGCTTTTGACTCTATACCATGACATCTTATAACAATATGCACTTAAAATAAAAAGATGTTACTTACTGTATTGGCTAGTTTGGACAATAAAGGGACAACTCCATGATCTGTAATGACAGCTAAATTTTCTTGATCTTTGGCTATATTGGTAATAGCAGCACATACACTTGCCAAAACTTCTTTATTATCTGATTTCAGTAAATTGACAACAAGTTCCAAACCACCAACAAAGGAACGAACCATTTCTCCAGCATCCTAGAAAATAAAAAAAATAAAGATATATATACTAATAAAAGGGTAACATGCTAATTAGACTTGGTCAACTGGCTATCTCCAGACATCTGATTTTCTTCTGAACAAAGTCATGGTGGTGGGGGCCAAGGCAGTTCTTGTGCCAGTACCAAGCAGTTTTAAGAACAGTGGCTTTGTAATACAGCTTGATATCTGCTATTGAGATCCCACCTACTTTGTTCTTCTTCTTCAGGATTGCTGCAGCTATTTGAGGTCTTTTCCTCTAATCTATATATATATAAAAGCCTAAGTAACCATTGCAAACAAATGACCAGAACAACCAGTCAACCAGTCACTATGATGCACACTGACCTCCAGCGGGCAGGTGCTCAATGAAGGAGCTTCCTCCTGGTGGTCAGTGTGCTCCCACAGTCAACCTCCCATGGCTGACCAACCTCCTGTGATCCCTTTCCCTCACTGGCCAACCTCCAATGGCCCCTCCCCGCAGCTGGCCAACCTCTTCTAGCCCCTCCCCCTGGCCAGCCAACCTCCCTTCCCCAGCTGGCCAACCTCCTGGAGCCCCTATCCACCCCCCTGCCAGTCAGCCCCAATTGGTCCCGATCACCAGCCAGGCCAAGGGACCCCACCCATGCATGAATTCATGCACTGGGCCTCTAGTTAATAATAAACTAATATTTAGCAATTTTTAAAGCAAAAAGTAATGATAAAGCTGTGAAGTACACCCATGCCATTAAAAAACAAATTCAGTTTATTTCTATGTTATACCTAATTTCTATGCATTTATATATAAATTATGTGTGTATATAAACATACATACACATAAATTAGTTTCAACGAATATTTACTGAACAACTCTTATATGAGTTAGATGTTAACAAAATATAGTTGAATCTTTTTTATTTTTTTTTTCATTTTTTTATTATTATTAGTTAAGGTATTACAAATGTGTCCTCATCCCCCCCAATAACACCCAACCTCCCCCCGACACACACTCATGCTCCCATCCCCCTGTTATCCATGTCCATTGGTTTGGCTTATATACATGTATACAAGTCCTTCGGTTGATCTCTTCCCCTTACCCTCGCCCTCCCCTACTTCCCTTCTGGGGATTGATAACCTGATCGCTGTTTCTCAGTCTTTGGGTCTGTCCCTTTTCCTCAGTCTAAGTTGTTCTCTATAATTAACAAATGAGTGAGATCATGTGATATTTATCTTTCTCTGACTGGCTTATT